CATAAGCTCCTGTCTCTATGAATCCTTGATGCTTGAGATCATAAAGTTGAAATGAAACTGTATTTATCAAAAAAAAAGTTGAAAGGAAACTGGAAGGGAGAAAAATTTAGCTTAATTGAATAGAAATCAAATCAAAATCAAAATCAAAACCCTAGAAATCAAAATCAAAACTCTAGAAATCAAATCAAAATCAGAGAGAGATGAGAAAGGAGAATCAACCAAAAAAAAAAAAAAGAGCTAATGGATCATTTCCTGCTGGTGCGTTGAATGTAGTCTGGAAAGATTGTTCAATGAATTAAAAGCTTCTTTTATGAATTCATTTGTGCGTCTATGGGTAATGGAACTCATAAGTATCAATAAAAAGGCGTTAACGGGGGTTTTGGGATGATTATTACCTTGTACCATGTCAAGGGTTGTTTTGTAGCCAATAGTGATCCCTCAGCCCACTCAACAGAGGAACTTCCATCAAGTGTTTGCAGTTTTAAGTTCTCGCCTTTTAGACCAACCAACATAGAAACATCAATCTTAATTTTTATTGCTTGTTTATGAACTATATGAACTTCTTTTCCCATATCATGCATTATTTTCATCCCGGTATCCCTTTATTATTATTATCTTCTGATAAATTCTGGTATCCCTTTATTATTATTATCTTCTGATAAATTCTGGTATCCCTTTATTATTATTATCTTCTGATAAATTCTGGTATCCCTTTATTATTATTATCTTCTGATAAATTCTGGTATCCCTTTATTATTATTATCTTCTGATAAATTCTGGTATCCCTTTATTATTATTATCTTCTGATAAATTCTGGTATCCCTTTATTATTATTATCTTCTGATAAATTCTGGTATCCCTTTATTATTATTATCTTCTGATAAATTCTGGTATCCCTTTATTATTATTATCTTCTGATAAATTCTGGTATCCCTTTATTATTATTATCTTCTGATAAATTCTGGTATCCCTTTATTATTATTATCTTCTGATAAATTCTGGTATCCCTTTATTATTATTATCTTCTGATAAATTCTGGTATCCCTTTATTATTATTATCTTCTGATAAATTCTGGTATCCCTTTATTATTATTATCTTCTGATAAATTCTGGTATCCCTTTATTATTATTATCTTCTGATAAATTCTGGTATCCCTTTATTATTATTATCTTCTGATAAATTCTGGTATCCCTTTATTATTATTATCTTCTGATAAATTCTGGTATCCCTTTATTATTATTATCTTCTGATAAATTCTGGTATCCCTTTATTATTATTATCTTCTGATAAATTCTGGTATCCCTTTATTATTATTATCTTCTGATAAATTCTGGTATCCCTTTATTATTATTATCTTCTGATAAATTCTGGTATCCCTTTATTATTATTATCTTCTGATAAATTCTGGTATCCCTTTATTATTATTATCTTCTGATAAATTCTGGTATCCCTTTATTATTATTATCTTCTGATAAATTCTGGTATCCCTTTATTATTGTTTTCACCAATCGATTTTGAAGGAAACTTACTGGTTTCATCATTGCCTCGGACTTTTACCATTTTGAAATGTAGAGAGTATACTTGGAAACAGAAAATGGAAGCAGAAAACTCATGAAAACAAAAACAAACCTTGTAAGACCACTGTTGCTTTGTCAAGTCTCTTGTCCCCTCATTGAGGCCCTTCAGTGTGACCGGGCCAAGAACCCCCGTGTTCCATGTCTCATAATGCACACCGACATTATGAAATCGATCCAATAGAATTTAGAAAGATTCCATTACTGTCATTAACATCCCAAGAATGTAAACTTTTATCAGAAGGTATGGACTAACCGGAAGGCCAACAGCAACACTTAGTAAAGAAATCTTGTTAATTCCGGCTCTCAACTTCACAGTGCTGCTATATGTCAGTTTTGGATTCTCTAGCGGCCCGTACACGGTTCCTGCCATAAACATGTATTAGTAAATCAAGATACAGGTCAAAGCTCATTTCATGAAAGTCTTTTCAATTTTTTGTTAAAATTACTAAATAAGTTCATTTACCTGATAGTTGACCGTTGATGAAAAAGAGCGAGTTTCAATTGTCAAAAAAGCAACAAATGTTGAAAACCACAGTATATATTCATAGCTTTTGCTTAATCTACCTCTAGATTATTGCCAGGCCAAGTCACTGCAGGATGCGAGGAAACCAAAACTGGTTCACATTGCTTGATAGCTTTGTGCAAATTTGTCAAATGCCCCCATTTTGGTTCTTTTAGTAATCCTTCAAGATAACAAATTATTCGTATCATATATACATTCATGATAATCTTACTCATGATCTCACAATATATGCGTGTGTATACACACTTTTTTCTTTGTATTTTTTGTATTTTTGTTTTTGTTTTTGGGTCTCATACCATATTCATCAATCGGAGCATCATAGTCGTAGCTAATGGCAATGAAGAGACCAGCAACTGCCCGCCCAAAATTTGTTCCGCCATGGTACTGATACAGAAAAGAAAAGAAAAAAATTCATTGTACATGGGCTGAACTATTTCTATAAATAATATAATTTGGAATGGACTTACCATATAATAATTCATGAGTGAAACATTATTTTGTATAAACCTAGTAACTGAAAATGCCAAGTCTTCAACAGGTCTATAAGGAACTACACCACCAAATTCTGTATACCTGAGAAAAAAACAGAGGAAACAGAGGAATACGAAGAAACAACATAAGAAAGGAATCGAATAAAATTGAAAGAGTCTTGTAATATCTGTGTGATCAAACAATTTAAATTTACAACAACAAAGAAAACTCCCAAAATTAAAATTACTCGTGGCCAAAAATCACAAAATCGAAGCTGGACTTGCACAGTAAGTAATGTTTCTAGTTCGCACTCTAGTTCTTGTAAAAACAACAGTCATGACAAGAACATATCAATACCATTCACAATTATGAGGCACCAAAAACCAAAAACCAAAAAACAGAGAAACAACATAAATAACAAACTCATTCTTTTGTTTGTTGCCATTCTTGTATAGTCAAAAATTTCTTTGTTGCATATGCCCAAAATTCATTTGTTAAAACAAAAAACAAAAACAAACAAACGAACAAAACAAAACAAAAGGCAGGACACTTTATGCTCTAAATGTCTAAGCACTAGATGCATAGAACAGATGGCATGGAAAAACTACAATATTCATCAACATAATTCATTGTTAAATTAGAAAATTAAAATAAAATTAATTACATAACAACCAGAGTTCTGTTGACATTCTCCAACAAGTATCCCTCAACAACATACCTAAAAGATTTTCTTTTTCTTTTTGTTTTTTTCCTCACAAGCTCTGTAACTTCGGCAACTGTAAAGCCAACTTCCCACTCAAAAGGGAGGCAATCTCTAAAACACAACCAAAGTTCTGTTGACTTGGATATCTATTGATGATATTTTTTTCATCTGAGAAAAAGGAAAAGACAGTGGAGAAGAAAAAGTTGAAGCAACCCGATAATGATCCCCTAAAGGAGTAGAGTCAATGTGCTACCCATTTGAGAGACAAATCAACATACATTAACCCAGAACCTTAAGACACAAACAATCCGAACAGATCCAGCTATGAAATGCATACCAAATACATAAATTATATAAAAATCTCAAAACCCATAAATCTCATAACATACACCAATAATTGAGTGAAATGAAAGACCAAAAAATTTAAAAACTCATCCAAACAGACGCAAAAACAAGAAAATAAATAAACAAATAAAATAGATGCATCAATCAGAAATGGCAGAAATGAACAATTCAAAATTCAGTGGTAGAGTGAAAATACACTCTTAACCTTGAATGCAGCCGAATCCAGCAGCCATAGAAGAGCATAAACCACTGGCACCTCTGTCAGATCATCACCACAAACTTGTTAGAGAGAGAGCGAGAGAGACAGAGACAGAGAGAGAGAAGTGATTAGTGACCGTACCCAAGAAATGGCGAGAAGAAGCAACAAAATCGCATGGAAGATCGGAGTTGGCTAGGGTTTCCAATTGAGAACCGCCCAACTGTGCTTTGATTGGAGGTGGTAACGAACAGTCTAACCCACCGAGTTGGCTCCTAACTTCACCACTGCCACCGTCATCATCATCAACTTCCTCCAATTCTACATCGTTCCCGCCACCGCCACTATCATCATCATCATCTTCTTCTCCTTCAACGTCTTCTCTTTACCTCTCTGCTTCTCCGAGAGCGTCGAACCTCTGCTTACTCCCATCCATGGCGAAATCAGAGAGAATGAGCGATTGCAGGACAGAGAGAGACAGACAGAGCCTACAAATATAAACAAATTAAAATATATGGCCTCGACTGGGAAGTGACTATTTTAGTAGGCTATTTGGCTTTTTAACTATTTTAATAGGTTATTTTAGTTTTATGTTTGAGAAGATGAGATGAATTTTTAGTTGAGTTGTTGTATTGGAAAGTGTGTTGAAATGATGTTTAAATTTAAAATGACAAATTTGTCCCTAAAAATATGTTTTTTTAAATTGATATCAAGGGTTAAAATCGTAATTTACCTATTGATGGAACAAATGCTGTAGCTGACAGTGTAGGCTGTGCCTACACTGCCGGCTGTGCAGCCTATTTTTTTTTTTGAAAAAGCTTTCAACAGTGTTGCTTTTGGGCTTTTTTCTCAAAATAGGCTATAATAGCCTCCAATTCCTCTTCCCAAACAGCGCCTATATAATAATGGAAGGATTAGTTTGAATTCAAAGATTGAAAATATATATGTGTCAAAATTTGGACCTTTAGATTGCTTCAATCCAAGGATTGAAAATGTCTTACTCAATCCAAGGGCTGAGATCAATTACAATCAAGATCTAATGGTTCAAAATGTCTCTCACCTCAGCTCAAGATAATGTGGCTAGAAATCTCTCTCACGTGCTCCTCTCTGCTCAAAATCTCTCTCTGTTTCAATTTTCAAATTTTGAACACACAACCCTCCTTCTCTCTCTCTCTCTCTCTCTCCCCATCAGAACCCATTCCCTTGCTGTAGACCCAACCCCCTTCAATATCTAAGAATCTAAAGGAAGATTCTATTAGAAAAATTGGCTTATTCTAAAGGAAGAATCTAAACGAATGGCTTCCACATTCGAAAGAGTCATCAACATCGCTAGAGACGGACATTTCTCTTCAAATCCCGAAGCCTCGATCTGTCTCGATGGTCTCAGTTTCTCCGATCGACAAATCGAGAAAGAAGATGACCAGAACAATGTTGGAAACTGATCTCAGAGAGCTTTCGGTCTCCAAACGAAGGTCGTTATTGCCGCGATTATTGGATTCGTTGGATCGAGTGTTGTTTTTGGGCTCTGGATTTGATGAGATTATGGTTGATGAGGAGTGTGATGTTGTTGGGGTAAGGGATTGGAAATTGGGGGGTGTTGTTGTGGGTGGTGGTGCTAGATACAGCGGAGGTGGAAGTTTGACCGGTGGTGGTGATGGTAGAGAAGGAGGATCGGGCGGTGGTGATGGGGATGGGAGTTCTCGGGATTGGGATTCAAATCATGGGAATAACATCATGGAGGAGTATTATCAGAAGATGATTGATGCATACCCTGGAGATGCTCTGCTTCTTAGCAATTATGCTAAATTCTTGAAAGAGGTATATATACACTACAGTTCAATTTCACTCTTTGTTTGAAATGAATCATGGTTTTGTGAAGAAAAAAAAAAAGATTGTTAACTTTTGGAAATATTGGTTTTTGAAGAACACAAGAATAAAAGAAACAACATTTTCATTCAACTAGAAAGGAAAATTTTGAAGGAAGTAAGAAATTTTAATTGAACTAAGAGTTGGTTTGGATTGATGAGGATTTCAAATAATGAGATTTAATGATGAATTTTATAACAATATTGAAGAGGGTATATATATATATATCTATATAACAATCCAACAGCTAAAAAATGTCCAACAAACAAATTATATTTCAATGGTGGATTTACAATGGTGATTCAATCCTACGGTGAGTTTACAATGGAGTTTCTTCTTCTTCTCTCTCTCTCTCTCTTCAGATAGCAGATAGCTATTTCACTCTCCTTCGCAGAAAGCCCTACTCTTGGTATTCTCTTCAACAAAAGAAAGGCCTTGGCGGTGCTACGCCTGTACAAGAGACAAATCTAACCTTTGTATTCGTCGACGACAACAATGGATCGTATCCTCTTCTTCGAACACGCTCGCAAGGCCGCCGAAGCCTCCTACACCAAAAACCCCCTCGATGCCGAGGTTCTTATTCTTCATCCTCTTCATATTTAATCCCGAATACCTACTTTTTATCTTCATCTCTTTTTGTATTTTTCTTGAATTTTGATTTTTTGTGTGATTTTTTGTGTAGAATAATATTAACGAATCAAAGGATATGATTCAAGGTTCTAATCTCTCTCTCTCTCTCTCTCGGCTCACTTTCTATATACGCTTTTGTTTATGTATAATTATCTATGCGTCAGTTAGTTAATTGAATTTCGGTGCAAAAGAAACGAAAACATGTTTGGCGGATTGTAATTTTTTAAGTAATTATCTTTTGGGGCAAATGGAAATAATTTTTCATGGCAATGGAGATTTTAAATTTGTGTTTGTTTAGTTCGAATGTTTAGTAGATCGGCGACAAACCAGCAAATCGGCGACATACCAGCAGATCGGCAACATACATAGCAAATCGGTGAGGTTCTTCAAAATCTTGACTATATTTGTTCATTCCTCATGAGGTTCTCCAAAATTTTTAATATCAAATTCGTAGGCACTAAAATGGGTTAATAAACCCAAAATCAAATTAACCCATTTACTATCAAATTCCAAAATCAAAATCAAAATGTTCAATAACAAATCAAACTGGGTTATATTTGTTCAAACCCAAAATGGGTTATATTTGTTCAAAATTAAACTGGGTTATATTCGTGAAACCCAAATTCTAGATAATATATTTGAACAAATCAAAATGGGTTTATATGTAGAATGGAATTAATTCCATTTTGTTCAAACCCATTTTGATAAACCCATTTTGATTTCATTCTATATTTGATAAACCCATTCTATATATTAATTCCAGATAATATATTTGAGATAATATATTTGGGTTTATTTGTTCAAATATATTAACCCATTTGATTTTGATTTTACCAAAATGGGTTATATTTGTTCAAAATTTTTTTGATAGTAAATGGGTTAATAAACATAAAATGTTTCAATGGAATTAGTAGGCACACAACTGGAATTATTCTCTAAATCCAGTTGATGGTTTCCTCTAAATTAATATTCCTCTAAAATGTTTGATAACCATTCAATTTACACACAAGAAATTTCAAAAGATGTCAGTATTGTTGGGTGGGTCTGGAGATGTGAAGTTGATAACCATTCAATGGGTGAGTCTGGAGATGTAACCATTCAATTTGATAACCATTCAATGTTTGATAATTTACTCAATTTTTATTTGGAGATGTGAAGTTTTCTTGGGTGGGTCTGGAGATGTGAAGTTGATAATCGAGGGTTGGGTATTGTTGTGTCACCCTTTTTATTCCATTAAATTAATTTAATATAATATGCACGGCCCCATTATAGTCACGGTGGAGCAACAACCCACCAGCCATACCCAGCCATAATAAAATAATATTAAATTTTAAAAAATGGAATTATTCAACAAATTCGATGCTTTAAATACTAAAAGGATAATGGGAATCATCCTCTAAATCCAGTTGATGGTATCCTCTAAATTCAGTTGATGGAATTTACAGACAACAAATCCAGTTGATGGAATTTAGTAGGCACTTTTTCTTTTTGGTTTGATTTTGTGGAGAATTGGGAATCATCCCAATAATTTTTTAACTTGCTTTTGGATAATGGGAATCATCCAACTACCAATATTATTCTTCTCTTGATTTTTTTATGTGGTTATTTTTCTGTGTGGGTTTTTTGAGTTTAGGCTTAAGTTGCAATGATGTTGTGTATATTTTTTCTTTGTTAGGAATAGACATAATTTCTTTACTTGTATTTAACTGAACCTTTCAGATTCACTTTTCTAAATTCTATACCTTTCAGATTCATTTTTCTAACACTTATAAAATTTTCATGACATATAAGCATTCAATTTTGCTATAGAATTGTTGGTTATCTTCTTCAACATTACCTTTGGTCAGGTAACTAATTGCAAATTTTGCTAGAAAGTTGTGGCGGTTGTTTTTTATGATCAAATTTTGGATGTTCTGTAAAATGCCTCAATTAAAATAGTTTACTTTCTTATATAATTATTATAGCGTGTTGTTCAAATAGTGATTTGATTGTTGTATCCGGACGTGGGTCCCGTTTATTCTGTCATTGTATATTTGTTGTTGTCGTCCTTTATTTTCTCATTTGAAGTTATAGGATGTGTTGGGCAGGTTTGTTTCAGGTTGGTTGGGTTCGTAAACCAAGTGTTGCTGTCCAGTTTTTGGGTTGGTCGCTCGAGCCAGGTTTTGGTCGCTCGAGCGAGGTTTGTTTTTGTGTCTTCTAGCTCGATCCAGCTTTGCTTCGCTCGAGCGAGCGACTGCGTCTGGTATAGACCTGAGGGCAGTGCTTATTCGCTCGAGCGAGATTTTCTTCGCTCGAGCGAGCAAGGTGTATGTTTTCGAGTTCCTTGCTCGAGCGAGCATTCTGTCGCTCGAGCATGCTCCAGGGTTGCAGACCTGAAGCGTTGCATTCTTGGCTCGAGCGAGCTTTTCTCCGCTCGAGCGAGGTTTTCATGTGTCTGGTCGCTCGAGCCACCAAGTCTTCGCTCGAGCGAGACTGTCAGGTTTAAATAGGCAGCAGCGTGTTTCAGATCAGTTTTTCATACACTTTCATATTCCAAAACCCTAGTTACGAGTTTTCTCTCCCTCTACACACCTTCTCTCTTAGGATTGATCTACTTAGAGTGAGTTTCTACCTTAGATCCTTTATTAAAAAAA